TTAAAAAATTTTTATTTTTAGAGGCACAATCTTGCTCTGTCACCCAGGCTGGAGTGCAACAGCACAATCACAGATCACTGAAGCCTTGAACCCCCAGGCTCAAGCGATCCCCCTGACTCAGCCTCCTGAGTAGCTGGGACAACAGGCATGCATCCTCATGTCTGGCTAATTTTTTTTTTTTTGGTAGAGGTGGAATCTTGCTATGTTGCCCAGGCTTGTACATTTCTGCTTCTGTATGTATGTATGCATGTATGTATGTATCCTCTTTTTTGAAAATGATTTCATTGCAACTTTCTTTAAGCACGGACCTTTCTGAAGCTCTGGGGACACCTGGAAGAGGAAGGGAGGGTTCTGGATATCCCCTAGGATCACATTGGCCCTGGGCGCAGGACAAGCCCAGGCAGGAGAAACAGACCCTGCTGAGGGGTCTCCTCTTTGCCTCCTCCCTGGGTCCCAGCTGGGTGGTCGCCTTGGTTCACTGCCAGCCAGGGTCAGGCAGCGCATGGCCAAGCCCACCGCTATGTCATCATTCCAGGGGGAAGGGGCTTGAAGGCTGCGTCATGGGGTGATGGGAACCTGGATTTAATTGGTATGACCTGAGCTCAGGTTTCAGCTTTTCCACATCCTGGCAGCGGGGCCTTCGGGTGGGAATTCCTCCTCCGCAAAATGAGAGCTTGTGAGAATTAAACTGGCCCCGGCATTTAGGAAACAGCCCTGTGATGTAGGTTCATGCTCTCATGACCCAATTACTTCCCAAATACAAAAAATTAGCTAGGAGCGGTGATGGGCACCTGTAATTCCAGATACTCAGGAAGCAAAGACAGAAAATTGCTTGAATCCAGGAGGCAAACGTTGCAGTGAGCTGAGATGGTGCTACTGCACGTTAGCCTAGGCAACAGAGCAAGGCTCTGTCTCACAAAAAGAAAAAAAGGAATTAAAAAAAAAAAGAAATGGAAGGAGATGAAAAGGAATATATGTAACATAGGCAAGGACTTCATGACTAAAACACCAAAATCATTGGCAACAAAAGCCAAAATAGATAACTGGGACCTAATTAAACTCCAGAGCTTCTGCACGGCAAAAGAAACAATCAACAGAGTGAACCAGCAACCAACAGAATGGGAAAAAATTTTACATCTACTCATCTGACAAAGGGCTAATATCCAGAATCTACAGAGAACTAAAACAGATATATAAGTAAAAAGCAAAGAAACCCATCCAAAAGTGGGAGAAAGATATGGACAGACACTTTTCAAAAGAAGGCATATATGAGGCTAACAAACATATGAAAGAATGCTCATCATCACTGATTATTAGAGAGATGCAAATCAAAACCACATTAAGATATCATCTCACGCCAGTCAGAATGGCGATCATTGAAAAATCTGGAGACAACAGATGCTGGAGAGGATGTGGAGAAATAGGAACACTTTAACACTGCTGGTGGGAGTGTAAATTAGTTCAACCATTGTGGAAGACAGTGTGGCGCTTCCTCCAGGACCTAGAAATAGAAATTCCATTTGACCCAGCAATCCCTTTACTGAGTAATATACGCAGCGGATTATAAACCATTCTATTATAAGGACACATGCACACATATGGTTATAACGGCACTGTTTACAATCGCAAATACCTGGAACCAAAGCAAATGCCCATCGACGATAGACTGGACAAGGAAAATGTGGCACATATACACCATGGAATACGATGCAGCCATAAGAAATGATGAGTTCATGTCATTTGTAGGGACATGGATGAATCTGGACACCAGCATTCTCAGCAAACTGACACAAGAACAGAAAATCAACCAAATTTTCTCACTCATAGGCAGGTGTTGAACAATGAGAACACATGGACACAGGGAGGGGAACATCCACACTGGGGTCTGAACATCACACACAAGGGAGGGACAGCGGGGGAGGATGGGGAGGTCAAGGAAGGATAACATGGGGAGAAATGCCAGATGTGGGTGATGGGGGGATGGAGGCAGCAAACCACATCCCCATGTGTGTACCTATGCAACAATCCTGCATGATCTGCAAATGTAACCCAGAACCTAAAGTACAATTTAAAAAAACAAAAACAAAAAGATTTGCAAGGAATCAAAAAGCATTTAAATATCCACACAAAGATATTTATCAGCAAGACTGATACCGCAAAGAAAAGAAAATCAAATCAGTGATATTAAGAATACATTGGAGAAGTCCTCCAAGAATGTAGAGGAAAAGGATAACAGAATGAAAGTGGTGATGAGAGCTCTGTGAAATCCAATTTTAAAACTCCAAGATTAATATAATAAAATGTTCAGAATAGAGTAGAACAACAAACTAATGAAAAAAACAACAACAAAGAGAACATTTTTTCTTGACCTTCAAAAAAAAATCACGTTCTATAAAAAGAAATCCTCACATAGACATATTCTGGCAGAATATGTATTGAAATGCTGGAAAACTTTAAACCATTCCGGGATCTGAGAAAAGTACTTAGAAATGAATGAAAATCAGGCGGACCCTGGTTTTTCCTCTGTGACAGAAAATTCAGGGAAACACTAGAATACCATCTACATAGTTGAAGGGAAGGGTTAGAAACCCAAGTAACCAGAGATTTTGGAAACACACTTGCGTAGTCTGACATCTGTGAAAATAACATACTTGGCTGTTTTTGCTTTGAGAGTACATATCACCAATAAGCAGCCTAAGAAAAATATTACTTTAGTTCAACCATTATGGAAGACAGTGTGACAATTCATCAAGGATCTAGAACCAGAAATACCATTTGACTGGGGTGGGTGTGGTGAGGAAGCAGCAGGGGCAAAGGCTCTGGGGTGGGTGTGGTGAGGAGGCAGCAGGGGCAAAGGCCCTGGGGTGGGTGTGGTGAGGAGGCAGCAGAAGCAAAGGCCCTGGGGTAGGTGTGGTAAAGAGGCAGCAGGGGCCAGGGCCCTGGAGTGGGTGTGGCGAGGACGCAGGGGAAGCAAAGGCCCTGGGGTGGGTGTGGTGAGGAGGCAGCAGGGGCAAAGGCCCTGGGGTGGGTGTGGTGAGGAGGCAGCTGGGGCAAAACCCCTGGGGTGGGTTTCTTCAGGAGGCAGCTCATAAATGTCATCAGCCTGGTGTTCACATGCATGGCCCAGTTCCCCTAGTCCACTCCCCTAGGGGCGTCAAAGGTCTCAGCCTTGAACGAGACATTTCCCGACTTTCCGAACTTGTCAGCCCTCAAGGTTTGTCTTCCTGGGTGAGTTTCTGCTGTGCCTGAGAGGTGACCCAGGGCCACGTGACAGGGGGAGAAATTAGCCCAGCAGGCCTGGGTTTGCCTACCACTCTGCCTCTCACTTGCTGTGTGACCTGAGGCAAGTTACCAGACCTCTCTGAATATGTTTTCCTAGCGGAGCTTTTGATACATGCCTGGTGTGGGGTGTGCGGTCAGGAAATGCTGTTTCCCTGCCACTTTTCAATGTTTCCTCTTCTCAGCCGACATTTAAAACAGTTCCCACAGGCTGGGCGCAGAGGCTTATGCCTGTAATCCCAGCACTTTGGGAGGCCAAGCAGTAAGTGCCCCACAGGCAACAGATGTGCTGCCTGGGAAGTAATGCTGGAGGCTGTGCCCACTTGGGCAGATGGTCAAGATGAGGCGGGCACCAGTTTAGCCCAGCTACAGACAAAGTTGCTGAGGCTCTGTGCCTCTGTGCCTGCCTGGCACAAGATATGGAGCCAGGACTGAGTGGGCCTCTGTGCTCTGGGCTGACCATGGATGAGACTGGGACATGCTGGAGAGAGAGCTGACTCCCGACAACCCGGGCTTTGTGTGGAGCAGGTAAGGGAAGCCGCCACCACTTGTCTCCCCATGCCAGTGGTGCAGTGCCCAGGGCCTGCAATTTTCACTCTGGGTGTTGGCCAAGACGAACGGACCCTTTGGCTGGTGCACCAGGAGACCTTCAGGCTATCTGGGACCAGCTCTGACAGCCTCTGCTCTGGGATCAGCTGCCGCAGCAGCCTACACATGGCATGGGGCAGCAGCGGTGGCATCCCTGGACATTGACCCCAGTAGCATGGAACCCAGGACCAGATACTGCCACAGTCAGCCCACAGGTGCGAGAGGGCAGGAGGCGCTCAGTCACAACTCTGTGGCTGCACAGTGCCCAGCACCTGAAAACCTGTGCTCTGGGCCAGGCCTAAGGAAAAGTGGACCCTAGGGTGGGATGGCGGTACACTCCCCAACCCCCACACCCTCGGGGAACAGCCCCGCAAGAATCTGCCATGGGCTCAGCCACAGCTGCAACCTGGAAATAAGCGCAAGTCAGTATCAGTGGCAACCCCAGGCCCTGTCCTCCCCCACCAGCAGCAGGAATCCCAGGGCCAGATGTCACCATGGTGCCTAATTTAGGCGGTCGGCGGCGCAGCTACAGGGTGATGGAAACTGGTGCTCAGACTCATCCTGGGTGCTGCAGTGGGCCCAGAGCCTGTGACCCCACACTCTGGGCTTAGGCCAAGGAAGCACAGATCTTAGGGTGGGGGGAGGTGCCCTGGGCGACTCCCAGGCTGTCTGAGACCAGCCCTGCAGCCTCCTGTGCATTCTGCTGCACCTGCCACTTAGAGATGGCATTCAGCAGCATGGTGGCAACCCCTGATCCTGCCTGCTTCCTCCAGCAACACGGACCTAAGGGCCAGACCCTGCTGCAGCGCCTAAATCAGGCCCCGCAGCAGGAGGAGGACTGGAACTGGTGCCTAGCCCCGTCCCAGTGGCTGTAGGGTAACCAGTACCTGCGACCAACGCCCTGGACCAGGGACAAAAAGGAACAGAAGAACGGAAACCAGCACTGCCACCCTACAGCTCAACTGTAGCTGCCACCTGCACACAGCGCATCAGAAGCAGGGGCAACCCCAGCTCTGCCTGCCATAAACAGTGGGGTGGGGAGGGGGACCCAGGGACCAAGGCTGCCTCAGAGGCTGCCACCTGGCCACCTCTGCACCCGTCCCTGCCCTGGTGGGAGCCAGCCACGCTCTTACCTCTCTGGCGCTCTGCAGTCTCCGTCGCTGCCACCCACTGCAGCAAGGGGAGCCATGGTGCCACAGGCTACAGCCTCCAGCATGCAGCAGATAGCTCTTCCTTCTCATGGCATGGAGCAGCTGCCATGCTTGGCAGGCATACCCAGAAAAGCCTAGAACGAGACACAAGAGAATGGTAGCATTAGACCCCCACCTTGTCATGCTGGCCACTGGGTGCCATGTGCCAGTTTCAGTAAAGGCACTCACACCCACCTTCCAAAGGCCACAGCATCTTTTTGGCCCAAACTGGCTAGGGAGTAGAGACTGGAGACACCATGGTACCTGGGCTTCCCGCTCCATAGGAACCACTGGGACCACCCAGGCTGTGCTCGGGAAGCAGGAGCAGCAGAAACTCAGCCCCAGCCAGCCCTCCCCACCAATGTGCTGGTTCCCATTCCTGAGACCTCCACCCACAGGGCCCTGTCGCCCTATGGTGTCTGCTACAGAAATGTGTGCCCACCACGAAGCAGCAGATGGCCCTTTTGAGTTTAGAGACCGGGGAGAGGAGGACCACTCCTCTCTCAGAGACCACCGCTGTCACTGAAACCTCCATCACCTGCCACCGGCAGTGCAGCTTCCGACAGAGCCCCTAACCCGCTGCCACCGGCAGTGTAGCCCCAGGATAGCACCAACACCCCATCCCCCACCACCGGCAGGGCAGCCCCAGGATAGTGCCAACACTCCATCCCCCGCCACCGGCAGTGTAGCACGTCATGGCAGCCCCTAATCTGCCCCTGCCTTAGACACTGCAGCACTCCATGGCACCCGCAAGCCACCCCCCTACCATGGGCAGCACAGCCCGGGATAGCACCCCAGCAGGCTCCCTGGGGTGGGCAGTGTAGCCACAGATAGCATCCCCAAGCAGACCCCCACCACAGGCTCCTATATGGCACCCAAACCACCCCCCACTGCGGGTGCTGCAACCCTGAATAGTGAGTGCCCTAACTCACTCCCCATCGGGAACAGTGCGGCCTTGGATAGCGCCCCCAACCAACTCCCTGCCTCGGGCAGTGCAGCCACCGATAGCACTCCAAACTCCCTCTCCACCTTGGGAAGTACCCCCATGGCTAGCTCGGGTAGCCCCTGATAGCGCACCCAACCCGCCCCTGCCACAACCCACGCAGCCCGGAATAGCACACTCACCCGCTCTTTACCAGGCAGCGCAGATCCCTGAGAGCACCTGACCCACCTGCTGCCTTCCCACCACTCAGGCTGTGTATCCGGCCCCAAGAGTGCCCCCACCAACCCTCCACCCCACTCCACAGGCAGTCCAACCCTGTGTAGCTCTCCCAACAAGCCCCCCAACCTCTGTCTCAGTGTAGTCCCCATGACGCCTTTAACACCACCCCTCCCCCCACCAGCAGTGTAGCACCCCCTAAAGCATCCTCCACCGCCAGCATTGCAGCCCCACACAGTGCCCCCAACCCACTCCCCATGTGGGCGATGCAGCCTTGGATAGTGCCCCCAACCAGCTCCCAGACACAGGCAATGATGTCGTGGATCTCACACCCGCCCCCCCGCCCGACACTAGGGGCAATGTAACACCTGACAGCACCCGGAACCCATCCCTCACCGCTGGCAGTGTTGCACCCCATAGTGCCACCAACCCATCCCAGACAAAGCAGGGAGCCATGGAGAAGAAGCAGAAAGGTCTGGAGGATTCCCGGTGGGGTACAAGTCCCCGCCACTTACCACAGGGACCTGTCTCATCCTCCACCATCACGTTGAAGCCACTATGGCTTCTCCAAAGAAACTCGCTCTGACCGCGACGCCGTCTCCTCCGCCGCTTACACCGACTTCCCTCAGGGCTAGCCGGGGTTGCAGCCGCCTACACCAACTTCCCTCTGGCCGGGCTGGGGCCGCCATGGCGGCTGCTAACTTCCCTGTGGCCAGGCCAGGCTGGCCGGGGCCGGGGAGGCCGCCGACGCCTTCTCAAGGGCCGCCGCCGCCGTCCCCCGACACCTTCTCCAGGGCTGCCGCCGCCGCCGCCTTCTCGAGGGCCTCCAACACCTTCTCTCTGGCCAGGCCGGGTGGGCTTCCGGGGGGCACGTGCGCTGACAGGCACTCGCGTCAAGGCTGAAGCACCACGCCCTCTTAAAGGGGCCGCAGCTCAGCTTGGCTAGAATAGCTTCGGGTTGGATGAGAACAAATTTTAGGTTAGCCAATCAGACCATAGAAATAAAGCCCAATTAGAGTAGACCTTGAAGTTTGCTCTCATCCAATCCGAACATGTAGTCTAGGAACCCCGTGTATAAAGGATGGCAAGCGGGCGTCTCGCCATTTCAGGCGTGGGCCCACCTGCTCCGAGCTGGCTTCCAGGAGAAGTGGGAGTAGCCGGCCACCCACCGCCCATGCTGGAGGCTAGAGTCTGCTGTTTTGGCTTGGCTCCCCTCGCTGTTGCGGTTGTCGGCACAGACTGGGACTACAGCGCAGCTAGAAAGGTAAGATGGCGGGATAGGTTCACCATCTTGGCCCGTACAGCCTTAGGCATGGGGGACGACTTGGGAGTGACCTGCCATGGGCAGTAGGCACTATCCAGGGTGTCACTGCTGGTGTTGCGGGGGCTGGTGGGCGGGGGGGTTATTTGAGGCGCCACAGCCCGCGTAGGGGAGAGGGTTGGGGGCCCGATGGGGCCTGTCCCAAGTGGTACTGCCAGCAGCAGTGGGGCTCCTATTTGAGATCCTGCAATGGCTCCTCACTGCTTCAATATAAATCTGTACTTTTTATTCTGACCAACACAATCTGGTTCTGTCCAACTTTGTGTTGTGTCTCTGTGCTCCTTGCTCACTATACTCCATCCGCCCTAATATTCCAGCTTCTTAAACATGCTAAGTTCACTCCTGTTCAGAACCTTTGCACAGTCTAGCCCCTCTGTCTGGAATTTTCTTGACCTGATTATCTCCTTATCATCTTTAGGTTTCAGCTTCAATATTTTATACAGAGGCCTTCCATAAAAAGCCCATCCAAAATACATCCTTGACATTATTTTTGATTTCATCACCTCTGTTTCTTTCATAGCATATATTGCAATTAATATTTTTGAACTTGTTTGTGTTGGTTCCCTTCTTACTCAGTTGTGAGCTCCACTAGGGCAGTGGCTCTGTGTCTCTTTGCCATTCTGTCCTGGGCTCTTAGCAAACTGTCTTGCACATAGTAGGTATTCCAGAGATACTTGTTCAATAAATGAATCACTCAATTCAAATTCCTCATAATAAAATGGGAAATTTAAATGTGTTGAGGTGAAGCGTTTTACTCAGTGCAACATGAAGACTTAATGACTGGATGCATCCCTTTCTATGTCAGGCATTGGATTTAGTTGTACAATGATGGAAAGGTGGTAGAAATAGTTTCCTGAGCCTCTCATCCAGGTATTGGATGAGACTAGCTACATGTTTTTTAAGTTACATGCTTGATTTAGGTAGGTGAAATGTTATGACTCTGTAGTTGGAATTTAATCAACTTCTGTCAGCCTGTTTCTGAATGTGGGGACTGTGGGCTTCCCTGCAATCACACATTCCTGATGACTCGACTTAAGAGAATCACATAAACCAAGAAGGAACTTCTCTACTAAAGTTTATAATCTTTTAAAAGGATCATTCAACATGGTCAGTCTATAAGAGAATAATTCTTGCTAAACGACTGAGAGACCACTGCCTTTTCTTTTCCATTTTCCTGTCTGGAACCTCCTGCAGGGATCCTTCCTGACAAGAACAGAAATCGTTCTCAAGAGATAGGCTACAACACAACCAAAGCCTGTGGCTAGCCTGAAATAGCTGTAGGGACAGAGGAGGACACTGACGTAATGCTTGTTGTGATTCAGCCTTGCATTTATATTTCTCACCTGCACAGCACCTTGGCACATGGTATTTGCTCAGTGTTACAGTCACTGTTGGTTCTCCTCCCTTTAAAGATTCCTTTTATGGGGCCAGGGTGCCTATTGGCCGCTGCTGTGAGCATTCGTTGCTCAGAGTTCAGACTTGTCCCTCTTGTTGGCCTAGAAAGCTGCGTCATCTAGAAATGTTTGGGAGGTATGTTTCTTGCCATGCCTACACTTAACCAAGGGCAACCCCCAGCTAATGACTGACAAATATGTGGATAAAAACATCTGGGCTTGCTGAGAAAGTGGGACAATTGGGGTGCTATTCATGCTCCAAAATTCCCTGTGGAAGCAGAAAATGTGTAGACATTGGCTTAACCTGCATCTTCCTCTAGGTTTTTTTCCTATTCTATCCTCCCATCACTTCCTTACAGATTTTACCGGCAAGCATGTCCTCAATCAGTCATTTGCATAATATTCCCTGTCTCAGACTCTGTCTCTAGGGAACCTGACCTAGAAAGCTTAGAATTTGGGAGCAGTTGTAAATGATATAGTTGAGAGATTATCTTAATGGCTCAAACTGCTAATATCCCTGGAGCCATATTTCAGGGTACCAGTGACAGTCCCTGGGAATGAGATGTACCTGTAAAGTTCCTGTTTTCAATTTCAGTCTGATCCATCCCAATTGTAAAGGATTGTCACTATGTATTACTTAGCAACACCTCAGTCTCTAGGGCTGAAGCGAAGACAGAATGGTCTTTTTGTTACCCAAAAACGGTCCTTATCCAGATTCCCCCTCATCCAAGAGAGGGTTTTTGGACCTTGTGCAAGAAAGATTTGAGGAGAGGCCATAGAATAAGATGAAAGCAAGTTTATTAAGAAAGCAAAGGAATAAAAAATGGTTACCCCACAGCAGAGCAGTGGCATGGACTGCTTGATGAATTATAGTTATTTCTTGATTATATGCTAAACTCTTGATTATTCATGAGTTTTCTGGAAAAGAAGTGGGCAATTCTTGGAACCGAGGGTTCCTCCCTTTTAGACCACATAGGGTAACTTCCTGAGGTTGGGTTGCTATAGCATTTGTAAACTGTCATGGCACTGGTACGGGTGTCTTTTAGCATGCTAATCCATTGTAATTAGCATATAATGAACAGTGAGGATGACCAGAGGTCACTTTTATCACAGTATGGGTTTTGCCAGGTTTTGGCTGGCTTCTTTACCACAGCCTTTTATCAGCAAGGTCTTTGTGACTTGTATCTTGTGGTCACCTCCTGTCTCATCATGTGACTTAGAATGCCTAACCTCCTAGGAATACAGTCCAGTAGGTCTCAGCCTCATTTTACCCAGCCCCTTTTCAAGATGGAGTCACTCTGGTTCAAACACCTTTGACATTTGAGTGCTAAGTCATTCCCCTGTCAGTTAATTACAGACTAAGAACCCTTGACAGTCCTATTTCATCTATCCCAAAATAAGTTCTTCTTGTAAAAAAACAAAAAACATGGCAGTGTTCATTTGCACACTGCCGCTTCAATTCTTCTGGTCTTTCCATCTTCTTCTGGGACTAGACCAATTTATTCTCATCTTTTTTTATACTAGTCTAGGAAAATTTTGTCCTAGAAATTCTGATTTAACACAGAAGAACTTGACGAAGCAGGTATGCTCTTAGAGAGTATGGTGACTAAACATTAGCACTGCTTGAGCTGTCCTGGAAGCAGATTCTGAGTGGAAATGAATGCACATGAAATTTAAGGAGTCCTATGGCGATTGGCAGTTGTGGAAAGGAAGAAAAGAAAGTGAGATTGGGCAGAGGGAGAATTGAACTGCAATGCAGTCACAGTGGAAGCCTCAGCCAACCCATGGGGAGCTTTGATGTTGGAATGGTCCTTCAGAATTGTCCTGGACGCACCATCATAATAATTGTTCATCAGACACGGGCTACCCCAGGAATGAGGTGATCTGGAATGTGGAGGCTTTTTTTAACAGAAGCAATCCTTGTGGGGTGAGGACAGCTGAGAGCTGTCTTCCTGCAGCATTCCCAGCAGTGACAGACTAGTTCTTTCATTCCTAAAGAGAAATATGGGTGGTATAGGGACAGGTACAGTCGCTTCTGTGCTTAGGAAGTTCTGAGACAGACAGAGGCCTGGTCTGCTGCTCTAAGATTTACTTTATGTGGTCTCTTTGAGGACACACTTGACCCAAAGCCTGTCTTCAAGAATGTAACTGGAAAACTCATACAAGTGGGTAAGTTGCTGGCTCTGGCTGTTTTTAGGTTTTCATAGTTGTGTGGGGCTGGATTTGAGCATGGGCTTATTTCTATGGTGGCACCTAGGTGCTGGTCCAAGAAGAAAATAGAGTTGTTTGAAGTCCTGGGTGTTCTATTCGAGGATGGTGTTTCTGTGACATAAGATTATGAATTCTACTCCTGGGATCATATGATTTATATATAGCCAGGAGTTGGGCTGGCTGTGTGTCTTTGACCACATATCTATTAAAAGAAAGCCCTGGGTAAAGATGTCTATGGTTTGTGTGTGTGTTTGAATTACCCATCTATTATATATGCATCTATTTCTAGTGACTGCTACATACAACTAGAAGAAAGGCTTATCTCTTACCTAATGCTCTAATATCTGTTTATTATGTAATTTCTCTTACCTAATACTCCAATATATGTTTATTATGTAATTTCTCTTACCTAATGCTGAAGAGGCAATGGTGGGTAGGCCTCATGAAGGGTTTGTTATAGAGATAACTTCCCTATCTATAGAGGTATAGTGTTATCTAGCTTCTAATTCTGGGAATAACTGGCAAGAAAGACATAAATATTGAGTTGCAGGGAAATGTTTAGTGTGTAAGGAGTAACTAGCTGACATGTATATAGGTGTTGTAGATTAGCTCATTGTTTGGCAAATATTTACTCTTTCTCCGTACTACCTCCATGGGAGGAGTGTATTTCCCTACTCTGCTGATCCGGATTTGGGACTGTGATTTGCTTCAGCTAATGGATTATATAGGAAGTGACAGTGTGTGAGTTCTGATTCCAGGTCTTAAGATGCTTCGCATGTGTCCACATGAACCTCTGGAAGGCTTCAACTTCTTTTGATATGAGCAGCTATCTCTCTAGCAAAGGGTCTAGAATGACCACTTGTGGAATAGAGCTATTCCAGCTGACTTGCAGCCTAAAGCAAAGTGTATTAGTCTTTCTCACACTGCTAAAAAGAAATACCTGAGACTGGGCAATTTATAAAGAAA